TAAAATTTTAAGTGGAAAGCAAATGAAATCAGTGARGTTCACTGGAAAGATATGATTCTTCAACTTGGGTGGTGTGTCTTGGGTCTACAGCCCGGCCAGGGTCACACCCAGAGCCTCAGTTTCCTCATTTGTAAAATAAAAAGGACATCACTTGTGCCTTGAGATCCATTGGTCTGSGTGCTTTATCTACTCCTGATCTGCTTCTGTTCCTGTGATTACTAATAACCAAAAGGTTATGTGTGACATTTTCTGCTTTCTCACTGATTCCTTTGATAGACCAGCAATGCCTYGTCTATCTGCAAATAAAAACAGCTTTCAGTATTGATTTATTCCTGGCAACATGCTAATAACAAAATAAGATTTACTCATATAAGGATTGGGATCAGGAGTTCTTTGAAATTCAAGACAGGGTGTAAATTGCTGCAAAGGGTCTCTTTAATTGGGATCAAAACATTTTTGACAGCTTTTGGATTTAAAAATTCTAGCTATTGTCAGGTTCTGAAAATGTTACTTTCCTAGTTTTTTCTTTTTTTTTTTTTTAAACGCAATCAAGCTTGAGCCAAAAAAAAAAAATACCTTAGACAAGATAAACAACTAAGGTTTGTCATTCCACATGACAAAGGCCCAGTTTTCCATTTCTTTGATATGGAGAGCAAAATACTTCACTGAGATTCCTATGCTGCACAGTTCAGTCAGTCCCCTGCTGGGTAAGGACAAAGGTTCAGTAAACTGTTTCTGTTCATAATCTCCTAGAGGTTTTTCAAATAAAAAAACATCAATAGGTACTATTTTAAGGGAGAAACAGAATCCTAAAACTCGTCTCAGAAGTCAGTTTGGATGTGACATTGCTCATCACCGCATCCTCTACCTACTCCCTTCAACAATGTCCTATGGGTCTCTTGTGGCTTGGCTACCCCCAGCGCCAGTGAACTCAGATCTATTTGACTCAGGTCTGCCTGCCAGAAGAGTCATCTTACTGACAAACTAAAACCAATTTCTAGAAACTTCTATCAACAAGTCCTGGTTGCAACTGGTTCAAAATTTCATTCTCTGATCATAAGGAACAAGTTGGGTCCTTGTATCAGATACTCTGGAGTCTCATCGTCTGTTCTTGAGGTGTAAACAAATTCAGTCCTTTTGACTGTCTTCCTGGGACTTGTGCTGAGGCATATTAACAAGCTCAGGTTGCAGAAGCTCCATGCTACAGAGGCCGGATGTTAATCAAACAGAACTGGAGGAGGCTAAGCCAGACAGAAAACATTTAACTGCCTCCTTCCTGATTCTCCACTAGGGATCTGACATTTTCTTCACAAAGCCAAATGGCTTTGGGCTGAAATGATGATTTTACTGTTGTTTTCTTTGTGTCCAGCTAAGGCCTCAGAAATTCTGCTTCAAGGTTTGATGGTATCTTTTGTGTGTGTGTGTTGTGTGTGGGGGCAGTTTAGCCACCTCTGAGAGAGGAAGTACGTAAATGTACAGAATGCAGACGACTCCTCATTAGTAAAAATCCAGACATTAAGATTTTAATTATCTGGGAAGAGCCTATTTGATGGATGGGGACAGGGTAAAATAGCAAAGTGTGAAAGAGGTTCCCAAAACAAGATAAAATGCCAGATACCTCACACCCCTGCTTCTGTCCCTGTTGTCCCAGTGATGGACAGGGCTGGGAATGAGAATGGCCTAGAGATAATATCATAACATTGGGACACATAAATCACTGTGAAAGTATCTCTCAGTCGGGCTTGGTCCACAGTGCTGGGCTCCCATAAAGGACACTAAAGGACCATAAGTGTTCTCCAAGTTTGTACAAGCCCCAAGTTGACCTCTGGCATACTTCAGGATCCTGGGATGACATGTCTGTGTCTAGAAGACTTGGCCCAGCAGAGTTTTCAGTTCCCCAACTGACCTGGTCCTCCTCATCACACTTGCCAATATCTTTTCTAAAATGTGAGGTTAAAAACTGAGCGCAGGGAACTGGGGTGGTGGCTCAGAGGTAGAGAGCTTGTCCAGCACGTGTGAGGCACTGGGTTTGATCCTCAGCACCATATAAAAATAAATAAATAAAATAAAGGCATTCTACCCATCACAACTTAAACAAACAAACAAGCCAACAAAAAACCGAGTGCGGGTCTCCAAAATACAATCTTTCCAGGAAAAGACAAAAATTCATCTTGCAACAATGCTGGGTACATGGATGAGGGGAGGAGAAGCTTTTGCTAAACTCTTAATCCTGCTAAATCCAAGCCTATTTCCTACCAATGCTTGTGCCCCAACCTAAACCTCCTCTACCAAGGCCCACCTTTCCCTATGGTGTGGAGGTAAACGGCATTGATTTTTGATTCATGCCAACCTAAGAATAAATCTCTGTTCTGCTTCCTGGGCATGAGGTTGTTGTAAATAGTTTAAAATTTTCTGAATATTATAATGTTTTGACATTTTGAAATACATTTCTGGCTGGGGAGGCACTGCCCCTCTAGGGCTGGTCAATTCTTAGACATAGCCAAGGCCCAGCCAGGAACAGGTCTTTGACAGGCAAACTTACCAATCCGGAGGCAGACAGAGGTGATCTTCCTCTGCCTTAATCCTCCCAGAGCAGGTACTAGGCAGCTGGGGTCCACCCTTATAGCTCAGCGCCAGAAAGAAGTGTTCCAACTAACCAATCCTCAGCTGTCCATCCTGCTGTACCTTGAATTTTCCTATGGAAACTCTAACAAAGGCCTTGGCCTGAGGGTTCCCTCCATTCCCCTCTTCTGCCTCCAGCCACCCTTGAGTCTTTCCCAAGTGGCCTTGTGTGGCACACTGTGCTCCTTGTCTCGGACATGTTGATAAACAAATCCCAGGGGAACTGTAGGAAGTCACTTATCTGAGATAGACATCAAGCAACATGGATAAGCAAAAGGTCCTGTGAGCCAAGTTACCTGGGTTCTAAGCCTATCTCTGGCACTGCTTATTTTCAGCAGGTCATGTCATGTTTCTGTTCTGGGTGTCTTCCAACTATAATGCAGGGTTAATGATAGCATCTCTCCCTTGGGTGCTTGTGAGGAGTAAATGACCTGGTACTTATATAGAATTTAGGGCAATGCTGGGCACCTAATGTACACTTGATGAAGTAGCTACTATGGTGGGTTATGTTTGAGTGTGTCCCCCAGAGGTTCACAGGCTTTAGTACTGCAAAGTTAAAACATGGTTTGGAGCCTTTCAGGAGATGTGGCATAATGGGAGGTCTTTTGCTCAATTGGGGAGGGACCCCAGTCTCCCCCTGGCTTCCACTTTTAAGATGTGATCTCTTCTTCTCTCTCACCTGCTTGCACTACTGGTATACCATCCACCCTGAGGTCCTTGCCAGAGCCAAGCTGGGGGCTATGTCTTTGAACCTCCAGAACTGTGAGCTGCATACATCTATTTTCTTTATAAAGTCAGCCTGCCTCAGGTGTTTCATTATGGTCACAGAAAAGTGGATGAACACAGTAGCTATTATTATTATTTCACAGGACTGTTTTGAAGATAAAACTGGATAATACATGTAAAAAGACCAACCTAGATTATAGAAGGTATTCAAAAACTGGGTGCCATTATTTTATATCATGGTAAAGTACATATACATAAAACTTAGCATAGTAACTATTTGCAGTGTCTGGCTCAGTAGCATTAAATGTATTCACAGTTTTTTTTTTTTTTTTTTTGCAGCTGTCACCACCATCCACCTCCAGAACATTTTCATCTTCCCCAACCCAAAACCCACGTCTATCAAGCAATAACTCCCCGTCCTTCCTTTTCCTGGAAATTATCATTCCACTTTCTATCTCCATGAGCTCCACACTCTGGGTACCTCTTACAAGTGGGATCACCCAGGACTTGCCTTTTTGTTGTAGCTTACTTTGCTCAGCACACTGCCTTCGAGTATCACAGGTTGAAGAATGTGCTGGAATTTCCTTCTCTCTTAGATTGCATTCTATCTAGATGTGACCCTTTATTCCTCTGTCACTGGACACTGGGGCTGCTTTCATCATTTGGTTATTATGAATAATGTTAGAGCCAATATCTGTTCTCTTACTAGTTGTTTAGAAGCAATTTTTCTATAGTTCTCTTCTGTCTTCAAAAAAAAATACATTTTCACTTTTAAACGATCACCTGATCACCCTCATGTTATTAGTCAGAACAAGGAAGAGAAGCTAAAACTGCAAAATGACCATGGTCAAATAACTCGGTTGGTGGAGCATTATTTATAAAGTGCTTGATAAATTATCTTTGGGGAGTTCAAAGGAGGTGATATACATGGAGGTGTTTTCTAAGCTGCATAATACTGAATGAATTAAAGACTAAAAACCCACTGGAGTGTCACTCTCTCAGTACAAGAGATCACAGAAGGTTTTTCTGTTTTTCCCTACCATCCATGAACGAGATCGACGGTGTCAGGCAAGCTCTGGGGATGAATCTAGGAGTTAATTGCAACTGTAAGGTTGATGAAAACACAAACCACTTCTTTGGTGGGTTCAAGAAACATATCAACCCTTACATTTCCTGGTTGGCGGTAATAGATTTTATTTTTAAGACGGAGAACTCTATTTATTCTTTTTGATTACAGCAATTGTAAGGTGCTGGGGGTTAAACTCAAGAGAGCCTGGATGCTTTGACCAGTCCAAAGACCTACAATGTGTCTCCCTGTCGGATGCATGTCATCAAAGTTGCCAACACACAAAGAAATTTAACTTAAACTGTCATATTACCACCGCTCTTCAAAGCTTATCAATCTCTCCTAAGATTACCAGCATGGTGTGACACTTTTATCACAATTACACTGTAACAATCAYGGTGCAGTCACACTGTGGCCAAGTCAGCAAAGAGACTTGCTTTGATGGACGATCACAGTTGATCAAGTTTGTCAGATGCTTTATGTGTTTTTATGCTTGTTTGATATTCCCGCCCAGAGAGTAGAGGCTTTTAAGGGCACATCTGTCAATGGACTCAATTTCACATCGCCAGGCGATTCTTTCACTTACCCCTGTCTTCTCATCAAAGATTTTGATCCCTCCAAAGGAGATGGTTAAAAAGATTTTCTGTTTGTGTTCTCCTTTGGAACGAGCGCCAGCAACAACGCCCTGTTGAAAGGAAGGACATGGTTTTTACCTTTGTGCTTTCATTTGAAAATTCCCTCGGGTCCCCAAGGCACGTCCGAGACCATCATCCAGTGCCACCAATCATGCACACCCTTTCCCTCTGCCCTGCGATGATCTGTGCACAAAGTGCTCACATCTGCTTGATGTCTTAGAGTAATAATTGACTTGGTTGTTCCAACACGATATAAATATATACTTAAACATTCACTCTAATCAAGATTTAGAGAATGCCTACTGTGTGCCTACATACTTGGTTCAGAGTTAAGGATCCCCAACTATACACAATATGGACCTCATAATAATATTTTCACTAGATTTTATGGTGGATATGGATTTAATCTTTTCAATAAAGGTRAGTCACTAGATATATGCCTAAATGTGATTTTATTTTTGTACTTCTGGAAAAGACTTTTGTATGAAATCAATCCTACAGATTASAAAGAAAATAAAGGGAAAGATGCTAGACTGTATGTTTTATTTTTGTTTGGAAAAACATGATCATCACCTACTGCTTGCAATTTTTATCCAAAGACATTTTGCATTTTCTATTTTCTTTTCCCCTACCATTCCTGCACTTTCAAGCAAAACACCAAATGCCTTCCATTGTTCAAAACATCTATTTCCATACTTCCCCAAACTTTTTATAAACTGATATGTATATGTGTGCATGTATATATCTCTATCTCTATATAGCTGTCAAGCAGGCAAATGTCACAATAAGTAGGAATGTTACTTGGCTTATATTCTATCCCCAGTGCTTACAACAGTCCCTGGAGGATAGCAGATGCTTAGCAAATAATTGTTAAATGAATATGAACTATCTGGAGACCAGCTCCCAAAGCTGATAAGATTCTGTGATGAGTAAGGATGGTTGCTTTTAAAATAGACTCTGTGGCCCAGGTAAGTACAGGCTTCTTACAAGGGCATACCAGGAGAGTAAAGGCATTTCTAGGGTCTACRCCAAGGGCTGTTACAGACTCTCCATTAATGTCTTGAAGCTCCCCACTCCATCATGTTTGAGTTAACAGACTATAAGATTAAGCCCACCTCTCAGCAGATACAGCACTGGGCTTTTAGAAGTAGCAAAGTCTAAAATCACATTGATTTCTGTTCCCAGGAGATAATAGTAGTTTGTGCTGTTCACAGGATAGTACATTCTCAGGACCAGGTTCTGGGAATGTGTAGTGGTGGAGAGACTTGAAAGAGGCACATCCTCTTGAWTTTGTCTGCTTATCTTCACTTTGGGTGTTGAAAAATATTCTGTGCACTCAGAATATTTTATTATACCCTTGGTTCTATGTAATCCTGGACAATTACTTAGCCTACGAGTTCCACTTCCTTAAGTACTTTTTTTTGCATTGTTAAGAGAATTAAACATTTTTTTTGTAAAGTAACTAGCATGGTGTACCAGGGTACACTATCCAATTTAACAACAACGAATTTCTTCTAGTAATAAATGAATATCCATGAAAACTTTAGTCCAATTCCAGCTTGGATACCTACTAGTAGGAAATTCATCCGACATCAATTGCCCACTAATTCTCAAACACATGTTACTCATCGACCGGCACACAGAACATTAGAGTCAGAGAAAAAACTTAAAACAAAGTTTTCCAACCAAGGATGAGAAAAGAATGTTCCCAAAGGTGGTGGGCAGTCCTGAGATAGCACAGAGAATCAGGGGAAATGCTGAGACCATATCTCAGCYCTCCAAACTTTGTTCTGGGAGCAATAATTATTGTGTTCTTTCTAAAAAAACCAGATCTGACCTATCTAATGTTCCTCTTCCAGCCCCAGGACTAATAGCTACCCTCTAGTTGGTAAGACTATGGTTTACTTTCAAAGTAAAGCACTTTGTTCATATCCCACATAACACATCTTTAATCCAATGGTCTCTAGATTCCTCATTGTGCTGTTGGCTTTTGAATTCCCTGTGGATACTCTTAAGGAACATGGTGGAATGGTCAATGTTCATCTTTGGAATCCCAGAGGTAATTCCTGTTTCCCTTTAGTGTCATGCTCTCTGACTCCCTTAGCCAATAGAGAACCCTCTTCATGCCAAACTGCATCTCATTCATTTTCTTCCTGGCACTTACTGCCATCTGGCATATCACATAGTCATTGGTTGATTTTTCTGTCTTTGTCCAGAGAAACGAAAGCTCACTTGTGCATACCTGGTGTTAAGAATGGGACCTAGCATACAGCAGGCACTCAAGGAGAAGTGAGACGGCTTTCCCTCATTTAGGTAGTAAATGAGAGGACAAGTCAAATGTTGAACCTAGGAAAATTTGACTTTGAAATTGGTGTCGATGGCTRCATTTGAGTAAAATAGCATATGCTGCCACCACACCATACCCTGAACTCCAACCTCAAGTATCCAGATGAGACAGAATAAGTAGCCCCTTGGTGTGCTCTGAATGTGTCTCCCCAAATTCATATGTTGAAACTTAACTGCCAATGTGATTTCATTTAGGAGGTGATTAAGTTACAAAGGCAAAACCCTCATAGAGGGGATTTGGGCCCCCGTAAAACRGCTTGAGGAATGCATTGTTCCCTTTTGGATCTTTGTAGTTCTGCCACATGAAGACAGTGTTCATCCCCTCCAGAGAACTCCACTATGAGGCACACCTTAGAAGACAGAGGCTGGACCTTCACCAGACCCTGAACTGCTGGCACCTTGATTTTGGAAGTGGCTAGAACTGTCAGGGAATACATTTCTGTTCTCAATAAATTAGCCAGTTCTGGGTATTTTGATTTAGCAGCACAAATGGACTAAGAGAGCACCTTATTAGAGGAAAGGATTGAGAGGACTGATTCAGAGGGGAGGAGAGTCCCTCCTCCTTTATTCCTCCCAGGGAAGGATGTCTCAGGACAGGGTCGGGAAAGGGTTGCACCTTTGGCCAGGAAGAGTACCTTTAATGTCTCTAACCCCAAGATGAATCCTCACAGTCCCAAGGCTTGCAGAATCCTGGAATATCAGATAGCAGTACTTCCTGSTACATGGCAGTGCCTAATACATATCAAGGCTATCTTTGCTTGCTGGTTCCAAGTACCTGTCAAAGACTCTCTGGTAGAAGATTGTGGTACATAAAAAAGAATGGAAAGAGTCGATATGCATGTTCCTGCAGGCTTGGTGCTTGGGCTGCTGGTCTTGGCTTTACATGATAAATGAAAGAGAGAAGGATTACCCATATGGTGCAATCTTTTTGGAAATAAAAGTCCAACTTTATTAGCCATTCTTTCTCTTGTAAAACAGGACTCTGCATAAAGCTCTGAAAATCTGCACTAAATCTAGGCAGGCCTGCCACCACAGCATGCCTTGGGGACTCTTCTTCCATAACAATATCCACTGTGTTATGTAGCACTAGTGGGGRTGCAGAACACAGCCCTGGTTGGGAGTTTGATGCTGCCTATGTAGGTGTCATCTRGGCCTCTGTACCTAATATCAGCCACCTGACCCCATAAGTTAACACTGGAAACCAGGAAATTGGGACATCAAACATTTTATTGGGTGTCTAATCTATGTTAGAAGTTTTCTTATGTGCCATTTTATTTAGCCCATACCACAGTTTTGGGAAGTAAGAATTATCTCCTTCAATTCATAGATAAGGAAACATGAGATTAGTGACCTCCCTAAACCTAAAGAAGAAAGTCACTGAACTGGAGTTAAGGCAGTGATCTTTCTGATTCTAAATGTAGGAGTCATTCTACTATAACCCTCTCTTCTCAAAAATATTTTTTTTCTAGGAAACAGGTTTTTAAAAATTGACCATGCTATGAAGCATGCCATATTAAAATGTGTCCCAAAATTTCTAAAGAGACCTCAGTGGAGAGGAGGAACTCTAAAAGCGAGAACCACATTTCTTTCCCTATAACTGTTGGAACAGTTTAATGAACTTATGTGCATAACACTGTCAGCATGGAAYGCAGGGGACAATGGTCCATGATCCTTATCATTATTGCCTGAACTATTATTGATATTTCTTAGCAACACCATGTGCTAGGTGCTGTATGATATGGCTGGCACGGATATCCCAAAGAATACCCAGGTAGGCAGTGTCTTAGGGGAGGAATTTACCCCTAGAAAAAGGGTCAGCATGGCCAGGCAGGATTAACAGGCTGCCTATTCAGCTCAGAGGATGCTTTGTCCATAGTTAAGATGACATACAAGAAAGGGCTTTGAGAAYACTCCCACAGAAAGGAGCATGCACACAATATCATGACTGTGATCTCCATGGAACACATAAAGCACGTGTGTAAACACAACAGGCTACAGATATGAATACTGAAAACCTTAGGATGCTATTTCAGAAAGCCCCACATAATAAACTTAGTCTCTGTTCCCAGCCCTGTTAGTTACTAGCTTGACAATCTTAGAGGGAAATACTTATCTTAAATTTCATTTTTCCTAGTTAAAAAGGGATGATAAATAACTTTCTCTGTCCTGCTTTGTGCCCTGAGACAGTCCCATGGAGACTCTATTTCCTGGTGTCTGAATCTTCCTTCCCTCTGGCTTGCAGTTAAGTTCCACTATGAAAGATACCGACAGGAGATSAGAGGGTGGAAGGAGGGAGACATCGGGTATTTTTCTTGACTTCTCTTTATTGATCTGTATCTCTGGTTGTAGTTTTTTTTTTTTTTTTTAATTTAAGGAAGGGGCCTTCCTTATCTGTCCTATTTTTCCTAGGTTCCAGTAAAGATTTTTTTTTTTTTCCATAGGTTCCTAGGAGTAGAAACAGCCTCTCACTATTATGAGACTCTGGGTGCCTCACCACGCCTCGCCACCTTGCCTTCCCTTTGCAAATATCTCCTTCATTAAAGAGTCCTTATCTGACCTAGGTAGGGTGAATTCTGCCTTCCAGGACCCTGAGTGACATCCTTGACGTTCTGTACTCAGCTTGCCAGGCACTGWCTTTGGGAGATGGCATCTTCTCCCGTGGTTTCAATCATCACTGTTTTATCAAATGTCTAAAAGTTGGTTATCTGAAGAGCCAATGGCTGTGGCTGTTAGATGGTAGCTTATGGGTAGGAGATTAAAATCAAYTTATGAATCAAGATGAATTAAATGCAACTACAAAACACAATATAATGAAGGGCTAAACTATGTCTTGTCAAACACTGGGCCTCTGGAGATCTAGGTTTGAGTTCTCTCACACTCAATGAAGATGGCGAGGCAAATTCTTTAACCTCTCACAACCTCAAGTTTGTCGGTTATAAAACAGGAGGCTGATGGTTGTCTCATAATATCAAAAGAGATAATGCAYGTGACAGCGCTTTCTTGACTCTAAATTGAAATATGACAATGACTGACGATGACGATGGTGATGATGGTGTGCCTGGTACCTAGGCAGTGCCACTCACGCTCACAACATGAATCCCCTCTAAAACCTCTGTAATCAAAGACAAAAGCCCCCGTGACAGGAAAATGCACTAGCTTCAGGAAGTCTAGCAAGAAAAAAAAATTAATTTTTTCATTTCTCATCTGGCAAATGGGCCTTTTCTCAAGGCTAAGAGGCACTTTGTACTTATCTTTCTCTTAGTTTCCTGGGAAGGTGGCCAAATCAAGAATAGAGCATTAAGATTTCTATGTTTCCTAAAGAAAAACCACTGGGAGCCAAAATGTCAGCAACTTGCAAATAATGAAACATAACTGTCTGGGAACCAAGAACCCCTCAATAAGTTTAGTGCACCTGACAGGAGTATGTTATGGCAGGACAAACTCTCAGGGCTTTGGGGATCTCAGAGTTACGAGTGGTGACAGATGGAACCCAAAACTGCATGTAAAACACACACACACACACACACACACACACACACACACACACACGATTGACAGTCATTGCTAGGTCTGGTCCAGCTGGCTTGGCCCAATCTCAATCCGAAGGGAGAGCCTTCGGGGAACACAGGCAAACCCTTGCTGCACATCCACTAAGACCCCAGAGCTTCCAAGAAAGTAGTTGTGCAATGAGGCACTCCATGACAGGTRCCTGGTGAGGGGCTATTTTCTGGATACGGGGGAAGGAAGATGCATGAGCTCCTTTCTCCTTCTAAGCTGACCTGTGGCTGTGGGTGGGAAACAGGTCTGTGCACAGGGAGGATTAAGTAATGACATTTTAGTGATTTTTTTCAATTAAAATTTGTCAGGAACGAATCTCTAWTTTTTTTGCCTAATTTCATAATTGTAACGAGGAACTTCAGCAAGAATCAAGATCCAGGCTTTATTCCCTTCTTTCCCCAGTTCCCCTTAGGTTGGCAGATGTAACTCTATCTAATGGGGGAGTTGGATGAAGTTGAAAACAAGAGGCTTCACCTCTTCAGGACTTTCTGTGCCTCACTTGCTAGTAGACAGTTTGCTTTCTGATCTGATGCCATGCACAAGTCATGGGTTCTAGTCTGGGACAGCAAAGGGRCTGGGGAAGCAGAAGGACTGTAGTTATCCACTCTTCCACAAACCAAATGCAATAGTCTGTTTCATTCAAGATACCCATGTGACCATGTATCTAAGTCAGGCGCTCCAGACCAGCAACCATCAGAGACAAAGCTGGGAGGTAGAATTCTTCCTGGCCAACTACTTTTTGTATTTATCATTCAGATGTGAACTTAGAAGAAAGAGAGAGCTCATTATTGGACTTCTCTTAAACCTCAATAATGATTTTGATGTYATTTATATATTTTTCTTATACTAGACAAGATATTGTACCTTATAGTAGATATAAATAAATGTTATTTTAGCAGTTACATATTACAGCTTAAAGAAACAAAAAGAAAGTAATGGATATCCAGTAGAAAATCAAGAGTTTTTAAAATTCTAATTCCTATAGCCATACTATAGGGGAAATTTAGCATTCAATATACATGGTAAGCTGCTAAGAAATAGCAAGAACAAAAATAAGTTGTGATTATTAACCATCTGAAAGGACAGGTGATACAGAGGGCATTTTACAGACTTTATCTCATTTAATACTTTAAAACATTTGACTGGGCTTGGTGTATTATTCTTTTCTTCCTTTTACTTACAAATATTCCACTGACCAAGTTTTGTTCTCATGGCCTATTTGAAGATTTGGCTAAAAATGCCCACATACATTATTAGATGAGAAAAAAATAGACTATGCAACTATATAAATTATTTAATTTCAACTTGATTAAATATATACAGAATTTATATGCACATAAAAACACACAATGACTGTAAATTATACACCAAAAACTRTAACGCTTAATCATCTTTGTGGGATTTTGGATTATTTCAATTTTCTTCCTTATACTTCCTATATTTTCACAATGTTTTATAATGAACATTTATGAACTCTGTTATCAGAAAAACAAATTGAATATGTTTTAAATGCATAAAATATTTTTAGACTTCTTGCTAAGTCTTTTGTTTTTCTAATATTTTGTTTCACAAAATAAACAGAATGTATGAAGACCACAATGTGTAAAAAAAAACAGTATTCCTTTTGTATATTTTTTTAATAAGCTGATTTGTTTATATTTCCCAATTTCTTTGGTTAGTTTCTTAGTGAAAGGCTTTTTCATAGCATTAAAAATGCTAAAAAAAAAAATCACAAAGAAACCTCTTTGTTATATCTCCAAATCCCAGAAGCTAGTTATGGATGATTTAAAAATATTATTTTTTTTTCTGTTAAAAAAGTGTTTGGAGTGCATTAGTAGAAATTACAAAAATGAATAAAATCAGCTTTCACCTTAGCATCTTTTACCATATGACAAAATATGTAAAAATCAAAAATAATAGCATGGCAAAAATTCCAAAAAATGTGAGAGACTAAACAATTTGACAAGTTTGTAGTCTTATTTTTACATGGGCTGCAAAATAAAGACATAATTGGGTAAAATATGATGATTTCAAAAATTATAAAACAAGACCTGGCAAAAATACCTCCATATAGTAGATCCTCAGTAAACATTTGCAGAAACACTGAAGTCTCTTCCTAGTGAATAAATGTGGTTAAGTCAATCATGAACAAAGTAATTTTTGCCATAATAATGGCGATCAACACTTCCCCTTATTCATATGAAGCCCTGGATAATTAAATGACGGGTACACAGCACCTTGAGTTTCATCATGGAGTCTTGACATAACTTGTCTCCCCGAGCTGCGGAAACTTCATCAATCCCAATCAGTTTGGCTTTGTACCGGACCCCTTCACCTTTAAACCTCTTTATCAAAGTGGCTTCACTGCGATCCTGACCTGAAAACAGAGAAACAAAGATTCAGATACGAAGCTGTTGAGATCCCATTGTCACTGTGTGTCTTCATCTGTGTCCTGTCAAATCATGGGGMATGGCAGAAAAAAATGAGTAATATCCCTAGATGTAAATTCTGGATCTATCTATTGAAATACTGAGGCAAACTACTTCTCCCTGAGCCTCATCTTTCTTAGGCAGAAAAATTACAAGAACCATCCCAATGAAGAATGCAGACAAATAAATCTGAAAATATATATAAAGCATCTAATTCCATGTTAAGTGAGAATCACMTACTAAGAGTTCATGTCCAAGAGTCTTGTTGGGAAAGTATCAGCACTGACTCTCCAGTATCCCAACATTTAATAGTGCTTTGGCCAGGATCCAAGACCTCCTTTACACCCAATTCCATGGGCTGTTTTATAGGGAAACTCAAGAGTAATTGCTTTGTATCAAGTAATGACCCAGAATGATTATCCAAAAAATGGTTTTATGATATCTCTTCTGCTAACTCATGAGTTTAAGGAAATTAGCTTCACACTATGTGGAATTGAGTGACCATACCTTGCAACAGACCCTCTCAATAATTATCAACATAATTACCTTTATGTTAATAATATTTTATTAATATAAATAATATATTATATATGTAATATAATAATTATTATTAACATAATATTTTGCTAAGACCCATCAACCAGGGATTTAAACAACACCCCCATAAAGTCAGGGCTGAGGAATTTCCGWGAGTTGAGCAAGGGAATTGTGCAGGAGGTTTTATAAACTTTAAATCCACTCTTCACAATGACCAAACCATTTCCATTTTCCAGGTAATTAAGATAGTCACAGAACTCAGGTAGCTTGTCTGGGCTCACAGTGTCAGAAATAGGTTGAATACATGGGCATTCAAAGCCCTCTGTAAGCTCACCATAGTTTGCCTACTGTGTGGTCTGGGCACTGCACACTGGTTCTCAGAACTGGGTACAGACTAGCCTGCTGATGCTCATTAGCTCCAGCTCCTGATTCCTTCTCTATCATGCCTCCCCTTAAAACTTAGCATTGAGGGCATCAGAGATAATTCCATCCATTTCTTCCAGCTAGGTAATGTTCAAACAAAAGCAGCTCTATGTGTGGCTGAGAATTATCTGAGAATATGCTTAAAACAAAAAGTCCAATGGCCACAGCTAACCACACTGTAGTGCTTTTCTACTGAGAAAACATGGCTTTCATTTCATTCATTCATCCCTTTGCGAGACTTTCCTCTGTGCCAAATGCAATTACTCACTGGCAACAGATGAAGAAGACAAATTGGTACCCCCAGAAGCTCCAGGTTGGTGATGTAAATAAAAATGTACAGAACATTATGCTAGGTGTGTAAGAGGTTTCCCTCCCAGGTCGACTACACTGTCTGAGCCTTAGTTCCTTATCTGCTAAATGAGGACAAAGGTCTGCCATAGCTTATGTAGGTTACTACAAATATTATGTGCAAAACATGGATTCATYCTCATGGTGAGCTTTCTACTAATGGTAGCTGTTGCCACTATGATCAGCCCAGTAAGAGAWGCACTACAGAGGGCAGGATGCTGGCAGAGGGGAGGCCCAGAAGAAGAACATCTGCAGAGCCAGGCCTGGACATCTGGTCTGCCACTTCTAGTTCTCATTTGCATCCACTGCACCCCGTGACTCCTACTTGATCAAAGCCTTTGAACAATATCCATAAAGCAAACAGAAGGCCTAGGTGATTAGTCAGAGAATATAACTAATGTGAAAATTAAACCTCAGGGTTCTGGGAGGGCATGTCCAACATCAGAGCTGAGAACATTTGCTGCCATATGCCTTTGATGGGCACCTAGCTAAGTGACAGGGCCTGTGGTCACAGTCCCCTCTTCCTGCCTCACTATTTAAAGTTGGGTTGGGGTGACCTTCAGTTTGGTCTGAGGTTACCTCTCTGCCTTGTCAACACATTGCATTGTTTCAGTCCTTTCACTATTGGAACCTCCACCATCCCCAAACTTTAAMTGGAATAACATCTATCACAAAGCATGCACCAATGTTCCTGGAAAAAAATTCCTAGAGGTAGATAACAAATACAGAAATTGAATCAGAGAGGCCCCGTAACTTGTCCAAGTTCCCTGAGAAGGACATGACCCAGATTTGTACTATGCCAAGCCCATGCTCGGGATTTGTTTGTGTTCCATGTTCTCAAAGCTGTTCTCTTAASCACTGTGATTAATTGTCCCTCATCGATCTAACTTCCCTATAAAGGCCTARCTTTACCTTCTACAAAAACATATCTGGTCCAAATCTGTAATATGAAATGTAAATACACTGACAGCATGARAACTCCATTGCAGGTTAGAGAGTGAGCTTGGATATGGAACAAACACTTGCAGCACCCACTCATGTCAAAAAAAAAAAAATGTCCACGAGTCAGATACAAAGAGATCCTTAAGAAACATGAGTCAGGGTGCAGAACTCTGCTGAGGAGAAAGATTCATAAGAGGAGGCAGAGCCAGATCAGGTGAATAAGGGCAGAGATTAATAAGAAAATATTAGGCCATTTAGAGTAAAGTAGGGAGCCCAATTTAGATTAGGACCCAGGGCCAAGCTAATTTGTATGAAGGGCACTTAGGCAGTAGATAATCTAGTTTCTCATTAAATGTTCCACCATTAAAAGGGTAATTTTTCATGAGCACATCTTGAACAAGGTCTCCGTTATATTAGTTAAGAAATAAATAATGGGTATCAAAGCCTTAAGGCTGTAATTACACCAGAGGCGCATACAGTTTGAGGGTGTTAGGGACAGGGTCAGTCTTCGTGCATGTTTACATCATGAATTGCAGCCTAGTTTGGATATGAGAAAGGCCATGGGTTCAAGGGACACCATCAAAATGGTCACTCTTATCACATATTTACTATGTTGGTCACTATGCCCAGAGTGTCACATCAGCTGATTTCTCCTTTAGTGTTCACACTGCTGTTTGAGTTAGGTTCYCTAATGAGTACGATTTCATAGAAGACCAACACCAATGTCCAGAGTTGACAGAAGAGTCTATGTTTTTAATAACAACTCCATTGAGACATAATTTGCACACTATAAATTCACCCTTTTAAAGAATACGACTCAGAAGTGTTAGTATATTCCCAGTTATACAACCAGCACTGCTGTCTAGTTTCAGAATATTTTCATTACTCCAAAAAGACACTCTGTGCCCATTACCTATCACTCCCCTTTCTCCATTCCTTCCAGGGCTAAGTAGATACTAATCTCTGTCTCTATGGATTTATCCCTTCTAGCTATCTTATGTCTTTGGAATCTTATAATGCATATATTTTTGGTGTCTAGATTCTCTTACTTAGCAGCAGCATGTTTTTGAGTTCAGTACATATTGGCAATTCATATCCATTTTTCCTTGAACATTATTCCATTGTGTAATTATATCACATCAGCTGTTGCAATTGAGATTTTAGATTGTTGCCAATTTTTGGAAACAATCTATTATGAATAATGCTGCTAAACACTTGAAACTATTTGTGTGGATATGTTTTCAAATMTCTTAGTATTATACCTGGGAAAGAAGATGCTAGGTCATATGGTATATTTCTGTGTTTCACTTTTTGAGAAACCATCAGACTTTTTCCAAAGTGACTATACCATCTCACTAGCAAATTTGGAGATCCAGGTTCTCTACCAGATGTTCTTCCCAACATATGGTATTGTCTTTTTACTTTAGCGATTTTAGTGGATGTTAAGCGATATCTCATTGTGGTCCTGATTTGCATTTCCTTAAGGATTCAGGATGCTGAGCACAAGAAAACACTTTCTTTCATTTGYATATCTTTTTTGGAGAAATATCTATTAAAACCCAGAGCCTTAATTTGAATCATRATCTTGTGAAAATTTCATAGTTTTAACCCTGAGACTGAGCTTCCTGTGACCTCACTGCACTCTTATTTAGTGCTTTTAACTTTGTGCCAYAGCTATTTGAGTCTTAAGCAGCCTAGAGTAAATCTACAAATCTTCCTGAAAATAGGCATTGGTATTATTCTGCAGATAAACTACAGCCAGAGAGGGAACTAAAAGTTATTTCCAGTTGAGTTGGGAACAGTTTCCTCACCCTCTTCTACTTTAGGACCTGAGTTCTGCTGGGAGACAACAGGACTTAAGGGTCTAAAACATGAGCTCTGCAGGCAGGACCCAGCCGTCTGAGTCACTCCCTTATTTATATTATGGTGGGGAAGTGCTTTGATAGATAGCGACACTGTTGTAGACATGTATAGATAGMGATTGCTCTCATGTGGGGTGACTGGGAAGGTTAAATAAATAACCCACAGGACAGGGACTGAAATAGACTAAGCTTAGTCAACACTGGCCATGGTTACTTAGGGGACCACAACACTATYAGGTTGTCTGGAACAATCTCCAGTTTATATACTTATTGTTTTGCCACCTCATTACCAGCACTATTTACTACTCTCAAAAGTACCGAGTAAGAAACTTCACTTGAGGGTGTCATCCCCAACAATATTATCATTTATACACCATCTTGCATCATGGGGTTCTTGGTCCAGATGCTATGCAGGCTTAAGCGTGATGAGAAGGTAGGAGGCTCAACAGGTAAGGAAGCAAGGGACATGCTGTGCAGAGGAACTGAAGGTATGGTGCTACCCGGAGAAGAGTGAGGTGGGTCAGACTGCATTTTAGAATCACCATGAGTCTCCCTGAAAACACCACCCTGCATGTAGATTTTGATTGGACTATTGTGGGGTGAGCCAGAGACAATGTGCCTRCAAGGCAGGGGGCTAGAGAGCAGGGCTACAGTGGTGCTGTCAGAGTCTGGAGGAGACTGGCTACTGGAAGCCTAGGAAGCTTCTGGACTTTCCTCTTTAGGTCATGGGAGCTATAAATGACCCACATTCCTTTGAGGATTAGATTAAAAGCAACATCTTGGCAACATTTGGGGAAGTTTAAGGTTTTCATAAATTGAATGATTAATGCATTTAT